GGACGTTCAAACCAGCGCAGACTATCGCAATTCGCTTCCCAGTGCACCTGATAAGCGGGATCGAGGTGCAGCGATTGCCAATTTGGTAAACGTGGTTCAGTGATAAGCAGGAAAACGGAGAGTATGGGTATAACAAAATCAGTATTCGAGGATGAGTGCCTCTAATGATTCGCTGAGTGAATATCTGCGACAAATCAAACTAAATATCCTGTGTACTCTTGATGAATGATGAAGGAGTGGCTTGGCACTGAGGGGCAATACCGATTGTTTTATAATTGTATTTCAAAAGCCTCTCAATCGAAATGTGTATCATCAGCGAGAAGGTGGATTGCAGAATGGAAGCAACAGCAGAGCCTAAATTATAAATAGCAATGCAGGTAGTAGCATTTTCTTATTCTACAAAAATGGATCAACGGTGAAAGATTCCTAATAAACATTTTTGAGGCCTCACGAGTTACAAATATCGATTAAAGACATTTGAATACTGAAGGCTGGAATTTAGTGTGTGCAGGAAAATAGTCCATATGAAAAGCGGAGAATCAATTCATACTTCTACTAACTGTAATTAACAATGTACACTGATAAACTGAAACTGGAATCTCCTAAGAAAAACGATATCTCACTACCTAGTAGACCATCGGCCATATAGGTAGGCGGTTAAGGTAACCATCTCAGCGATCCGGAGATCATGCATCCGGATCCCGCCACTGCCTAACAGTTCCCTGTTCCTTAGTTTCGCCAGATAGCCTTTGAGTGGCAGCAGTCCCGGACCCTAAAAGTTAATGTGTATTTAATAACTAGAAAGGGTACTGCATATATACATAAAGTCTGGAGACAATGATCAAAAGCAAACATAAACAAGTGGTGTTTCTCTGTTGAGTAGCCCAAAGTGGTGGTGGCGGCGGCAGGTAAGCTGAACTCTTCAAAGTGATCATAATTAACTGCGATTTGAAGATAGACTAACACTCACAGAGATCGGGAAGGGAATGGACCGAATGGGCGAAACAGGAGCAACCTCAGTATCACTTCCGTTCTGGATGTAACAGTGATCCAAAGTAGGCAACGGTGTCGGAGTTGTATCGATCAGGTGCGGGATCAGTGCAGGTTCAATGGCGATACTGGGTGATTCGGAAATAATGCTTGTCTTCTGTGTGTCTCCCACTGAAGGAATCGATGGGGAAATTGTTGGTAACGTAACACTCGATGTGCCGCTAACTTCACTGCATCTGCCTGAAATGAGCAGCGAGAGGATAAATGAGTGCAGCCATTCAAACGCAACCAGGATAAATTGAGAAGTAGCGCATATGCTTGTCAGTGCATCGACCAACCAGCTCCGACTTTCCAATGCGCAAGATAACTGTTGTAGTTTTGAACAGTTAAATAAACAGTGAGCAAATGCAAAATCATCAAGATCGCATTTCGATTTTGGTAAATTTTCGATTGTTCAAATACAATACTTTATGATAACCAGTGACTGGGCAATCAACAAGGGTTTTGTGCAATTCCGTTGACACGTATAGATGGCAATGCACTGATCCTAAACCGGTCTACCGCTTCGCAGATTGGCTCATCAACGATATACACACTCATGCAACCTGGTGATTCGACTGTTTTGAAAGCGAACCGCGGACCCCTTCACTCTCATCCAACATTGATGGCGGTCAACTTTGTTGTCGTTCAGATCTATCTTATCCTTGTTAAACCCGGCATACAGATGCATTGATAGGAAAAATGTAGCAAAGAGTGGAAAAGCGATGTTTAGTAAAAGTGCACGGCAATCTGAGCTGTGAAAAGTTGGACGAAGACGAACGGCTGAGATAAGTTGGCAAATGTGTTTGGTAGAGGAGCGATCGTCCTCCTCATCAGATAAAAGTGCCGGTGGCAATGGGGTTCGAACCTAGACCATTCATGGAAAAGTACATCATTGATATGAGTTCTGTTTGATTCATACACATCAGTTTGAATTAATGAGTATCAAACAAATAGCATGACTAGCCTGCTTCAATCCATATTATTTCCCTGACTCACATTTCCCGCAGTTGTTCAGCTTTCGATCATATATCATACCGAATTTCGGAACAACAAGCTTCGCGATTTCAGCCTGGCTCTCGGAAAGACCTGTGCCTGAAGCCTCTCAAATCCGGCAATTTGCGAGGGACAAGTTTTATCCGTAACTAATCCATTAAGCATCCAAAAATCTATATGAAGATAAAAGGGACCACTGCTTACTTTCGAGGTCATCCAGAACTAGCTGACGGGATTTAGATGACTTCAAGTCCTTGGGTGGTGCTGCCGTCAGATTGGAGCACTGGACCAGTTGGTTTGGAGCAACTCCAGAATCGACCTTTAAGTGAATTGGTAGAACGTGCTTTTTAGCCTGAGTTTGGACAGTGAAAATTCATGTGGGAGAACCGGAGGAGATACCATCTCAAGGATACTACATTTCAAAAATAATATGCAACTATAAGGAGTTTTGAAAGGGCAAAAATATTGCACAAAAGCCGTATGGAGTGTAAAATCTGATTACACGTTAGATGCTACTAGATTGAAAGCTAAAAGATAATCAGGGAACACATAAGACAGTTATCATTTGGAATAGTTTGATTTTCATGTAAGATGTGCATGGGAACAGTCACAAATCTGGGAAAACCATAGACTAAAACAGACTACTTGTATCGACATCAACAGAAAAATCAACTGGAGTGTATTTATCCCCTTAAAGATTCAAGCTACACAGATGAACTCATGAGCGATGTGAGGATAATGACATTTATTGAACTCAAGGGTACATGTAACGTACAACTGTTCTGTCTGGGAGTACCAGATTGCGTAAATCCTCATCCTCTTCGCCCTCAGTATCCTCCGTGTCAGACTCCGTTTCAGCAGACACAGCCACCTGTAACAAAGAGCGCACCAATGACCCCGGTTTGGGTGCGATTAAAGCAGCACTAGAAAATGTACGCTCCTCGGAATCCGAAGGTTCTGTCGTTACCGGAGAGGCTGAGCGAGCTTCGGTTGAATCGTTTTCCAGACTGGCGTCGGGGACAGAAGGAGTTGGTTTCTTCGTTTCCCGAATCAGTTGTTGCAATGGACCGAGAGCGAATTCTGAATCTGAACTGCTGCTGGCTGAATTTGGTTCCATCTCGATCAGGTCGGACTGGACTTCCTCATCCTCGGAATGTTCATCCCAAAGTTGAGCTCTTTGCTGCTGCTGCTCAGTTCACCCGAACACCAAACAGACGAGAAAATAGAATGAACAAATAAATGATAAGAAGTAACCATAATTACCTGACACGCACTCGAAACCGCAGCAAACAACAAACAGACGAATAGAAGCCACTTTTGGACATCCCCAGTGAAAATGACCGGTGTAGATTACAGATGGTCGATACTAGTACTACTACTAACAAGGATTTGCTCCCTCTACCAACGAAAATATCGTTGCTGAAAAAATACTTTAAATAGGGTACTGTGATATAAATAGCAATTGTACCTTACCATAAAGGGGTACTGTGTTTCGTCGCAAGATGAGGACTGTTATTCGAGGTCGTAGGATACGATAAGTCTACTACCAGTGGAGCTATATGCGTCTCCAGGCAGTGAATAAGAATTATCTTTTAAGTGACGGTGAATAAGTAAGAGTTATTTCATTGAATAGTTAGTTGCGGACGCTCAGTTACGATGATTGAGGATTTGGTGGGTTTTCCGACCAGTGAACGACTTCTCTGCAGCAAAAAGCCACAAAGGTCCACAGAGAAAGCATCGTGATGAATGCGAATATGTCCAACCACTAAAGAACTCCACCACCAACATCCTGTATATCTATAGGTAGCACTTGTTTGTGTACGTATCGGGGTTACAGCGATGGCGAAAAAGACCGAGCCATACTAAGGATGCTACTAAGAAAGAAGAAAGTGGCCGAAACAGGGTAAAAGAGTGTTAGGACTAATTTATGCCATCCAGGATGGACTGTGATGAGCAGGCAAAAAATAATTGGTATTAAATTGACGCAACACATAAACACAAATAAGAAAAACTACAGTGTGTCAATGTTCCTTCTAGAATGACTTCAGCACACAAAACAACAGATATAAATTTCACAGAAATTCTAACAAACAGATACCGTTTTGCTCTGTGGATTGGTCTCCTCTTGATCTTCATCGGAGGCGTAGTTGCCCTCATTCATTTCTTCTTCTTTTTCTTCATCATCATCAAGCTCATCCTCCTGGCAATCATCCCCGTCTTCTACACCTTCACTCTCTTCTGAATCCGAAAAGAAATCTTTCAAGGATTTCGGTTGCCCCGAACGTGAATCGCCAGTCCGATCCACAACAGACGAGGCCGGAGAGCCGGAACTGACTGCCGGAGTGCTGCTACTCTGCACGACGCGGGACCATGGATTTGGTGGTACCACTGGCCAATCCGGCAGGTCTTGGTATCCATGAACGCAATGGTTTAACAAGTGAGACAGAGAGCCCAACGCGAAAGTAGACCGATCTGAAATGGGAAATAGTTGGGTGAATTGGATGTTCGGCGATGGGGCATCATTAATGGTCATCAACAGCGCAAAATGAATGAAGCATGCTGCTTTCCGATCAGCTTTGAGCTACTCCCCATCAAAGTGTTTAACGATGAGTCGATAAGACAACTGATTTAACTAGCGTGGAAGTTTGGGCATAATTTTAAAACACGGATCTATCGCAATACAATGCTACGTGATTGACTTCGGAGGAGAAAGGCAGATGCCAACTGGAAATGACGCGGATACAAGTTCAGGCAGTGGATAAGTTTCATTTACGACAAACCACACCGAACATCAATGCCAACGAAATTATTCGGATGAACAAGGTGAACGGTGTACAAATCGTCCAGTAACGAAGCTCCGATTACCTTTGGACTGAAACTGAAGAACCGGAGCTGGTTTAACCGCGAGGCAGATTTTCCGGGCATGCTTAGCCAGGTAGCCCGGCACAAAAGGTTTGGACTCGGGCGGTTCCATGGTCGCTCCCGCCTCACCGACGTTGTTCTGAAAAGGATACAAACAATAGCAAATAAATGTGAATGTGAGTTTCCAGTAATAAAGAGAGAGAGAGAGAATAAGAACAGTTTCAGAATTCTGAGTGGTGAGCCAGTAATCTCAAGCTAATATCAAGAAGAATTTAGCTAAGGGTGCATAAAACTTCGTACTGCACGAGGTATCGTCCGATAATTCGAATAGTTGTAATACTTTTTGTTCTATTTCACATAAAACAAGTATTTGTTGTTATTGATGATAGGATAAGACAAATATCAACTAGTGAGCAATTTTCGTGTTATGATTAGACAAGCCAATAATTTAATCAAGTTAGGTATGCAAGCCCCTTTTATTACGAACAAACATGGCAATTAGTTCATTGCAGGTCAATGATACCCAATCCTATTCAAAGATTATTGCTACTTCGATGAAAGATGGATTCGAACAGGAAATTGTCAAATTCGTCTCGGTGTTATTGGATTGACGCAAAACAAGGCAAAGAGCGTTCCACTAGAGAAAATCACAGTTAAGAGGAAGCAGTGAAAGTATATCGGGCTTGTTGGTATTGGTGTGTTCTCCGAGCTGGAAGTGTTATTCACAGACGTTTCGTAACGAGGCTAGGCAACATCATCAGTGTGACTTCGAAGTCGCACGTGGACGGGACAGCATCTTATTGGTTGAGGGCTGCTCAGTGCAGTGTGAAGAATTCTCCCACGGTCAAGAGGTAGCCTCAGGTACCCCGCTCCTACGTCCATCTAGCGGGGTTTTTTTGACCAGTAAACTGATCCTCCCCGTGTTTATTTACTGGAGTAACCTTTCCAGGGGCGAGAGTAGATAGTCCAAGGAAGCCGGTCACCCAAGCAGCTGGCCTAGTGAAACTGAGTTTCGTCTGGCCTCTACCCGTTGACCTTTCCGGCATGACTGGGTTTGTGGCTGTGAGCAGCCATCCTGTGTAGCTCGCAGGGTCATGTAGTCACGCAAGCCATCATACGACGTCAAGGTGCAGTCTCGTCGTGATGTATAGATATATTTTCAAACACTTCTGACGCCAGACTATCTGCCAAACAAATCATGGTACAATAATCATTATGAAAAAGAAAAAAACGTTCAATGATTTGCATGTGGGCGGAATACTGCCAGATTGCCCAGGCCAATGCACGTGAAATTTCTTGAGGAATCTACAACCGAAGCCCTCAGTTAGCCAAAGCCTGAAACGCAAGGCAGCGGGGGGGGGGGTGTTTGAAAACCGCAATCCATTGGGTGCCGGAGTCCAGTTCATCAGCTCATACGCCCTTCGGACGGGGTCAAACGTCCAACGTGCCCAATACACCTCGATGCCCAATCGAGCTAGTGGCCGTTGCCACAACAGGGAAGTTGTGTGTGGTTCGTACGCCTCCTCAAGGTTGGTTTGAAATCAGGGTTTCTGGCTAACTCCCGGAAATGAACAGCCAGTGGTCGACTAACCCGGTTATGGCCCCGGATGTCGGCTTTTCGTCCTCTCATTTTGGTGGGAACTCATCTCCGCCACGAGAAGGCAATGAGTAGGGCTCCCTCAACAGAGACTATTTGAGACGCTTGGTCGTACGGGAGCATTTCGCGAGGTGCAAGGAAAGAGTGATCAGCCGCAACCCCAGACCCTACAGAGGCTCTCGTCGTCATGGGTTCATTGTATATGTTTTGTGGATTGTCTTGACAATTAGGCAGCTGCGATCCAGCAGAGACGACAGTGATTTTCACCATAGTTGCCCACATTCACGCATCACAGAGTGAGCATAGCCGAACAGATGTGCTCACAGTCTGACGAGGAAAAGAATATTCAGTTGGTGTCACAAGGGATCCGGGTTGGTAAATCTGTGTGATATGAAGCGTGATCACCATACTGACAACAAGCAAAGTTGTTGTCAGATAATTACCACTCATTTTAGCAATTTATTCTATTTCTTAATTCAAACCATTTTGTTCATTTTCTTGACCTAGAGAAAGGAGCGATTTATCAACGAATCAGTCTGCAGGTAGAAAATGTCAGACCACTAGGTATGATATCTGTGGTGCGATTTTGTTTATCGGTCGATGAAGCACACTGGAGAGCTGTAGCTCGTCAGCAGTGCTTACCTTTATTTTTCCGCCGTGAGATGAACTACGAACCTCTGGGCTGGTAGTCGAAAACCTTAATCCTGAGTGACACGATCGACATCTCGTTTAGATGATTTGGAAAATGGAGTGATAATTTATGCAACGGCAACTCTAAGTGGTGGACACCGGTGTCCAATGAAACGCTACTAAGGTAAGACAATTTGGAGTGAAATCGAGCGTAACTTACCTCCTGGATTGATTGGGGAAAAATAAGTGCACGCAAAAGTCGAGATCGATCACGGATGTCGTAGCTTTGGTCATAGCGCGCCAAAGTGAACACATACTGGGCCAGCAGATGAGTCTGTTTTGGATTAACAATGGCTAACTTTGCCGCCAAATTCAGTATCTGAAGAAACACGGAAAATACTGTAGGTTGAAAGATATGACATGCTATTCATGAAAATGAAAAAGTTCGAACCAAGACGTCCCTAGTGCCCGACAAAGATAAAGTAGCGCAACCAACACTGTTGTAGGTCCTTGATAAGGCTCGAATATACAGTCCAGCAATCAAAACCATCGCATTACGATGATGCAAGGTTGATGGTTGTGCAAAATAAAACTGAAAGTGCAATAATCTCATCAACTAAATACTTCACAATGCATCCTTTAAAAGACAGCGACGCCTGGTGGAAGATTAACTACGTAATTTTATGTCGAATAAATAGCACGCTTGGGAAACAAATCAGCAAGCGTCGTTCGTGTTGTGTTGGTTTAGGTGAGATGCTTCTATCCCAACCCACTACTACTGCCTCACTGTTGAAATTTGGAATCTGGTCACATCCGGTTTTGATCGACGGAGGTCAAACTGACTGTCTTACGTGCCCATCTACCGGTTCATGTGAGTCGAACCAGAAGACAGCGGCACAAAGAGAGGAAACGATCAGCGTGTAGGTGTGTTCTCAGGCTATCTATCTAACTATCTATCCGTCGGCCACAGAACAGCCTAATCTTAGCTCTGTCGATCATGACAATTGAAAACAACATTGGATTTAAAAACGACAGATGAAATTTTGAAAGGCAGAAATAGATACAAACCTGAAGCTTTACCACCGGTTCCTGATTGATGAAAGTCTTAGCCATTTTGCGTAACACATCTGGAGCGATTTTGGGCAAACGATGGCTGTACTCGCCGAGTAACCATAGGATAGATGCTAACGCAGATGGGACAGTCATGGTGTCCGTGAGTTGAGCAATCCGAATAATGATCTCTTTGTGATCGGAACTCTGCGTGTGGAATAGACAAGTAAAAGCTAGTCAGTTTTGGTAGACAGTGTGCCAGATAAGGAAGACATACGACTGCGATGTGTTGTTCAATAGCGAATCACACGCACACACACAAACCAGGAGGAAACGAACTGAACAGAACCTAAACACGTGTAACAAAGCTTGGAATTAGTTCGCTACACTATAGAGACAATGTAAAACTGAATCACGGCCGCTGAAAAGCCTAAGCTCCTTACTAAAAAGCGACATGTGCCAAATATTCCTTATTCGGGCTGTTTTCATAATATTGTAAAAATGGGTTAGGGCAGGATAGCCCTAACGATGAGGCTGTATCGTGTCGGAAAGACTGCTGTTGCTGAACTGGGCTTCGATAGATTCATCGGATTTGTGACCGGAAATCGCAGGCGATCTTGCATTGATAAAATTTTATTTCAATTGTAAGTTGGTCACATATATATATATATATATATATATTCATTCTATTTCTGTTCTACGATTGAGTTCCAGGTACCACAGCAAACGACCTCAGTGTCTATTTGTTTAAAGAGTAAAACTCTAATTGGCACTTCCATATTGAAAGAGAAAACAGGAATGATGGGACCACTCCTGAAGGCAGGTGATTAAGCATTAATGCTGACTGAACGTGTCTATTACAAAGCAGTAGTGCCCAGTACTGGTGGTAAAAGGAAAGATGACTACATGAAAGGCAAGTGCCTGGTTGAAAATACCCATATTATCGATACGGTGAAGCACTGGAGACAAAACCTGCATTTCACAGATCTGCACTACACTCAGTGATATTGTAGATAGTGTGGAAGATATCCGTCTATGAAGGCTCTGACTACTAATGTTTGCGTACATGCGTAGGCCTTGTTGAATAAGACAGTTAAGCAAAATTTCTGTGATTTTTTTTCGAAAGACAATCTCTTTGAATCCAGTCTCGAGACTAATCCGTCCCAAGCTGTATTTAAGCCAGTTTTCTTTAAAAAAAAAACAAGGTAGTTGGTAGTTAGTTACTATTGAAAACGCACACCAGAATTGGGGTTCGAACTCCAGGGCGGATGAGTCGACCATTTTCATTTCTTGCTGCGTGATAGTGTTCAAAAAGGTATGCACGTACTGTCAATAAGTGCACATAACGTGTGCCCGCAGCAGTAAATGCTCTGACAGTACATTTTTCTCGAATACATCCTATGCACTCATATCTCCCTTGGGTATGTTTTGAGCTCGACAGCATTGAAAGAATTTCGCTAAACTTTATACGAACAATCGGCGTTAACACTGAGTGGTGAAAGAGCTCAATTCTACACGAACAAGAAACAGCATGCGTGCCCATTCCGGTAATAGAGAGTTGGGGGGGGGGAAGGCTGAATAAATTAGACTTTTAAACAATGAGAGCAGCTTACCTGCATCTGCAGCAACTTTCTCAACACAACCACACATTCGGCCACAATTTTCTCTGAAAATTGGAAAACATGAGTGAAAAAGTGGGTTGATTGAAGAATGCGACGGATAACGACAGGGGAGGTTAGCAAAATTGGGTCAAAATACGAATGTGGTGTCCAGTTTCACACCAATATACACTACATCTAAAGGCAAAGAGCACAATTCAAGGGGAAAACAAATAAACTAAAGGCGTGCTAGCAATGTGTTCACTCTCCACACGCGATTCCCATCCTTCGCAAACCGTGCAAGCTCGTCCATATATGAGCATGAATACCCATGAGCTGAACACTTGATTTGTTTTTCATTCTCCCACCCCTCTGATTTGTGTTTTTACCTCGTTGTTTTGTTTATTGAGCATAGAACGTACAATAAACTTTCAGGAAGGGGGCCATGCCCAAACAAAGGCTGCCTGGAACAATCCAGAAAATGAGAAGATTGTCGGCGGTGGCGGTGCTTGAACTCAGGGCCCAGAGGTGGCAATTTTGACAACCTTTCCACTCGGTCACCGATCTTGTATTCCGTACTGATATTTCGGATACGTACGGTGATCTTCGATTTTTGCAACATCGTCCTTCCGGACAATATACGGATGAAAATGGTGGTGGTTGGTAAGCGATTCAAGCGGTCATCCCTGAACTTACTCTGGCTCCAAGATACAAGGTTGGGACTTTGCCACGGTTACTTAACTTTAGTGGTAGTCCGATTCAGCGAAACGCTATTCTATTGCCACTTAAAAGCCCCAAGCTTAGGTTGCTGGTTGTCATGAGTGAACTATAGGTCTTCGTGACTATGGGGTTTATCTCTTTTACTATTCACTAAATAGTCGTGAGTAGCAGCAAAAACTTTTATTTATATTCTCCACACCACCAAAAGCATCAGTAGCTTCAGTATGGTCAGGGTGGGTGTCTTGGGTTGTGGATGGTCACCCCCCCCCCATTGCACGAAATGCTCCTATAAGACCAAGCAAGCGTCTCAAACAGCCTCTGCTGTCTTCTCATGGTGGAGGTGTCTTCCCACCAAAGTGAGGGGACGAAAAATCAAAATCCGGGGCTGTTGGTGAACCACTGGAAGTTTACCTATGGGAGGTGGTTAAACATCCTGATTCTAAACTAGCTGAGAAGAGGTTTACAAACCTTTGAACCACACCTTGGTTGTGGTAGTGGTCACCGGCTCGATTGGCCATTGAGGTCTATTGGACACGTTGGACGTTTGACCCCATCCAAAGCGCCTGATCCGATGAACTGGACACCGGCCCCCAGTGGATTGCCATTTTCACACACCACCCCGCAGCCTTGCGGATCAGGCTTTAGTTGGCCGAAGGCTACGGTTGTGGATTCCTCAAGAAAATTCACCTGACTTTGCCTGGGCAACCTGGCAGTATTCCGCCCACAAGCAAATCGGGGAAATTTAGCTCTATTATAAAGATTATTGTACTGTTTTATTTGGCACGTCTGTATTCAGATTTGTGTTCAAATACAAAATACACTTAATATGTGTCCAGTTGCCATGAGATGTTTTGCGATTGATGACCCTGGATTTCTCTTATCGGTTTGACCTCTAAGACTCCGTTGCGTCATCGATTGTACCAACCACTTGGGAATGTGTTCAGACATCCGCTGTACCAGGGACCGATTCGTTCTGCCGATGTCAGTGTCACCGCAACTGCAGGTGAACTGGTAGACGATATATGAAGCAGAAATGTTCGGCTGGTTCTGTTTTTGATTGTCTAAAC